TAATGCCAGTAATCCAGGTACCTATACATAGTGCTCTATAACTTTGATTGCACTGTCCTTCTGCCTATAAGCTTGCTTCTGCATTATTGCCTGGCTGTCATCCTTTAAAATCTAAACCAGGCATTATCCTTTCCATATAGTCTTCCTCCCAGCTGTTAGGTACTTCTCTTCACATATCACTGGACACATCTATCATTGCACTTATCACATTATCCTATTAAATCAACTACACATTTCTGTTTCTGCTACCAGTCTATGAAAATCTTGGTCATCTTTGAATCCACAAAATCAAGCTAATTTTTCTGATCAAAGGATACAACTTGACCAGCACATTGTGGCAAAGAAATGTTTGTTGAATAACGAGTTTATATGCCTGTCATTTACGGCTGACAAGTGCACTGAAAACTTCCCTGGTGGGCTAGGACTTTATGTGTTAAGAAAACTAGGTTTCCTAATCTTGGTGGGCTCTGGGATTTTTATTAGACTGTGATTAATGCAGCAGGGAGGGGCCCTGGAAAGAGCCCTATAAAACCCTATTGGGATAACCTCAACTCAAGCCAATTTCTCTTCACCCAGGGAGTATTGCTGTATATGTTGGTCAAGAAAGGACATGACTGAATTTAATACAGTTTACCCTAGAGGCAGAATAGCAAAGAAAGGATTCTCCTAATTTAATTATCCTCTCTGGGTGCTTCTCCCTGTTAATCTAGAGGGAGATTTGGCCCAGAGCAGTGCACTGAAGGCCCATTTACAGTTAAGGCCTCTCTCTACTTGCGTCGCTGATGATTGGAAGCTTAGACAGATTGCTATCAAGCGGTTGGGTATATCAGAGGCTTTGGTACTTAATTCATAGCTGTTAGTTGGATTACACTGCAAAGAAATTGTTTCAGAAATTTTGCTGAGATTTCCCTGGAGCAAGTTTTACATAATATTCTTGGGAATAATGTGTTTTGTTAACTAGTCTTACCAGAAATGCCTAATTTTTCCTGATCAAGGGGTATAGTTTGGGCAAGCATAGAACACCAGTTTTTGAAATTATAGGAAAGATCTGGGCAAAAATAAGTGGAAAAAAGGGGCTCCTATCCTTTCCTCTAGTTTAGATAATGGACTACCCTCACAGCTGTTCTGTGTTGTCACTTCTCACTACCCATTAAAAGACAACAGATAAAAGGGAGAAAATAGTTTGATAAAATATTACTCATTAAAATGGCAAGAATTCTAAAAATCAAACAGACAGCTATAGCAAAAAATACTAAATCTAAGTGAACTGGGAAAATTACCAAAACGACTCTGCAAGACATTTTGTATAAATGTTAAGTAACTAAAAACATTAAAATATGTCTTATATGACAAGTCTGAGGTCTGATGCAGAGCAAGCATTTTAGCAAGAAAAAACGCTAAGTGAAGATTATGGCCCCTATAAGATAGCCTAGGTTGGACAACGTAGGGGTCAGAGATACTAAGCTTGCAGCTCAAGAAGAAACATTCCTATTTTTTACTCCTTACTTTGGCCACAAAGGGACAAAGGCTTGAAGGTCTTTCTTCCAGTGGAATGCTCCCTCCCTATCTGACCTAACCTCTGAAAGTCAGATCCTTTGAGCACCTAGCTTCTACTTAGGAAACCATTTGTAAATTCCATATCTGAAGTCAATTAGAATCACTTCTTTTACTATAAAATCTTAAGAGAATATTTTGGTCAAGAGAGTTTTTTTAGTGAAATCTAGAGGGAGAAGATTAGAAAAGACCAAACTATAACAACTAGTGCCATAAATTGACTCGAGATTATTTTTAAAATAAAAAGATCGGCCGGGCGCGGTGGCTCAAGCCTGTAATCCTAGCACTTTGGGAGGCCGAGACGGGCGGATCACGAGGTCAGGAGATCGAGACCATCCTGGCTAACCCGGTGAAACCCCGTCTCTACTAAAAAAATACAAAAAACTAGCCGGGCGAGGTGGCGGGCGCCTGTAGTCCCAGCTACTCGGGAGGCTGAGGCAGGAGAATGGCGTGAACCCGGGAGGCGGAGCTTGCAGTGAGCAGAGATCCGGCCACTGCACTCCAGCCTGGGCGACAGAGCGAGACTCCGTCTCAAAAAAAAAATAAAAAATAAAAAATAAAAAATAAATAAATAAATAAATAAAAAGATCATTTAAAGTGATTCATTTTGATATGGGTGCAAATATCTCACAAGTTATGTTTCCAATTAATTTAATATTTATACTCTGCTTCCAAAAAGAATCTAAGGCTGCTTCCAAAGATCAGTTTTGCTTTTATATCTAGACTATTGAAGTAAGTGTGACATCATACTATTTACTGCATTATGTTTTAGTATGTATTTTATGACAATACACTTTCACCTAATCTTTGAGACTGTATTTTGCATTAGGAGAAGGCAAAATTAAGCTGCTAAAGTCTGTATGTAATCACATTACACTACACTTACAAAAATGGAGCGAGGCATTAACATTTTGACTAACAAGCAAAAAAAATAAAATAAAACCTAGTTTATTTGAAAAGTTGTGAAAGGAAAAATGCAAGAAAGTTTTAGCTGAGTCATTTGTAGTTAAGAATAAAAGAGTGAGGTCAATGAAGATTTAATCCGTTTATTTTTCTTTCCCCCAAATCAAGAATATTTGAAGTAAAAAGCCACTTATGTTCTGAACAAATTAAATGAAGTAATTACTGCCCATTGTATTGTGAAAATCAAAGGCAAATGCTATGTTTTGTAGGGGAAGCCTCAGGGAGAAGGAATTAGGGCAAATATTTAAGGCCTTGGTAAAATCTACTAGATAGTGTAACTCCACACCTACATTTTGTTTCAGTCGTTATTAGTTCTTAGATTTATTTTTTAAATAATCTTAGGTGATTAGACCAAATGAATTCCTTACTTTAACATAAATAAGAGGAGAACATATATGACTGAATTCTGACCTAGGGTCTGCCTCAAAATCTTTCTCGGGGATCTTGTTTTCCCATCTTCTTTGGCACTGGTCTTTTCATGAAATACACATCTATTTTATTTTTACTGTATCCTGGTCTTTGACATTTGTTTTGATATTCCACTCATTAAGCAAGTAACATCTCACTTTGGACCTGCTTGCACAGTATGGTTGCTTGTCCTGCAAGCCCAGTCTCAGGGTGCAGTTTGGTGTGTCAGTCAAATTTAGTCATTTTCTACAGAGTTGCTGTTCTCAGAGTTGCTGTTTAGGTTCTGGTTAGGAACACTCAGGGTGACTCTCACATTTCTTTGTAGTTACTTCTGATGAGACATATTCTGTTAACACAATGGGCTTTCCATCACTCATACTGTTCGTTTTGTGGCACTGATACAACTCTTTTTACTAGTTTTAAAAGTTCACATTCTGGAATCACCTTAACTTGGTGCAACATGACAGACAAATTACTTTCCCTTTTTAAGCCTTATTCATTAATTTATCCAACATTTATTGAATTATGTGTAATAGGTTTGCAGATAGGAAGTGAATGTGATAGGTAGGGTTTTCTTATCTGTAAAATGTGGCTAATAATGAGCTGTTCTGGAGGATAAAACATATGTAAGGTACTTAGCACCATGCTCAATAAATATTCATTGTTATTATTAGCAGTATTATTTTAATAAAATTACTTTTAACATCTCCCTATGACTGCAGCGTCACAATGTATCCTATATATATAAAGCTACTCCTTCAATTACTGACACTGAAAACGGTCTTTTCTAGAAACATTGATGTAATGTTCTTAGACTCTATTGGAATGTAAGCACTCCAAACTACAATACCTTTCACACCTGGTCAGCCAAGAAAAAACTGTAAGTCACAACCACGATCTGGATTGTGAAAGTAAGGTGTTGTATCTGTGTCCTCTGAGTGTAGGCTTGTCTAGATAATTTTCTAAATGTCTTTCCAAAATTCTGCATATACTTCTAAGTTTGGATAGTTAGAAAAATAAAGAAGCCTAAATACAGGCCATCTTAAATTTTACTTGTTCTCTATCACTAGCATTGAAATCAGCAGTTAAAAACGTCACAATATTTTAACTACTGTGGTTTTAGCTGTTTGTGTGTGTGTGTGGGGGGGCTGTCATCAACTCACGCCAGTTAAAGAACGTGGCATTTCTGCATCTTATAAAATTGGACTAGAGAAAGTGGGTTACCACAGTAACTGGCAAAACCTATTGACATTACTGGAATGCTTATTTAAAAAGTTTCCCTTTTACTTAATGGACCTATTTAAGAATGATACAGAGAAAACGCCTAAAACGGTGGTGGTAGAGAGTTTGCATCTACACTCTAGGAATATTTGCCTTTTAAAGTGAAACCTCATTAGGCAAACTGTATTTTACTAACGGTTGCATAGTAGCCTGTGTATGGTTTTTGAAGAAAATGAGTTTTGAAAAATAATGTTTACAATTTGTCACTCATTTTAAATCCCATTGTTGCCCTTTGGTTCTTATTAATATATAAGAATATCGAACACAAAATGACATCCTCTAAAATAGGTACTTTAGAGGAGTTGGCCGAAAACCTGAAAAAGAGCATTTTAAAATGGTACATAGGGCAGAACCTGTCTCAGGATCCCACAACCAGCAGCTGGCAGGTAACAGCCTCAACGCCTGACTTCCCAGGACCCGCTCATCACCCGGGGAAGACCCGACAGCACTAGCCCTCCTGCCTCATCATCGCTGCGCTTCTGGCAGGCGGAGCCTCGTTCTCGTCCACGGCAGTCCACACCTTCGTCTCTGCAGGCGTACGCGGGTCTCGGGAATCACCTCAGGAGCCCACTCAGCAGCCGGGGGGCCGAGGGTGAAAGCGAGAGCCAGGAAAGCCCGGGCTCTCCCTGTAACCCCCGCACTCAGTGGTGTCCCCCTCCCCTCGGTGGTGGGGCCGCGGATACCTCCTCAGCCGCCTCAGCTGTCGGAGTTCAACTGGTGGGCGGCCCGTCTCGCCGTGGCCGCCACCGCCGGGTCCCCTCAGAGGCCTCACAAAGCCATACTCCAGCCGCCCGCACCTGATTGACTGACCCCGGGCTCTGGCTCTGCCTCGCGCCGCCACCGCCTCCGCTGCCGCGCACGCGCACCTCGCGCGCCTCTGTTCCCGGACGGCCCCAAAGCGGGAACGCCAGGCTGCGAGCTGCTGGCACCTGTCTGCCTGCCAGACAGACCCTGGGCTCCGGCCTCGTGCTGGCACGCGCACGCGCCTGGCGCGCCTGCCGTCGGCCCTGGGGGCGGGACCGCGCGGCAGCGAGCGGGCGGGGGGCTCGTGGCGCGCGCGCCCCGCACCCGAGGGCTGCGGAGAGATATTTTGGGTGGCAGGAGGCCCCTCGTCATTTCCGCTGGGCAGCTAGTCGTGCTGGGGGCTTCACTCCCGCGCGTGAGGCGAGCGGGCAAGTTAGCTGAGGGCGTGTGGCAGAGGCTGCTTCCCTCGGTGACGCGACCCCCTCAGCAGCTCAAGCCATGAACTGAAGCTCCCTAGGGACGGAGACCCGAGCGGAGCGGCGGAGGCAGCAGCAGCAGCAGCAGCCGCCGCCTTAGCGGGAACTGAGCAGACCCGGCGCGGAGCCACGACTCCTGCACGTTTCCCTCCCCGTCGCCGTTCCTGCCAGCGGTTGACTAAGAGACATTACAGCCGGGAGACCCGACACACAAAAGCCGCTTTCAACGCGCCGCCCGCCCAGAGAGGCTGCGGTCAGCAAGGGACCCCACCTGAGAGCGGTTCGGACTGCTGAGTTCGTTTTGTGTCTGAGCTCCGCGCTCTGCACGGAACCGACCCCGTACCCATGGCTCTGATAATGGAGCCCGTGAGCAAATGGTCTCCGAGTCAAGTAGTGGACTGGATGAAAGGTAATGCCCGCTGCGGGGAGGGTGAGGCGGCACTGGGGCGCGGGGCACCAGTGCGAGGTTAGGAGGGGGCGCCCGCCGCGCCAGAGCCCGCCACCGCGGCTTCCACTGGCGTACGTCGTACGCGTCGGGGCGGGGGTCCGCCAGGACTGGCAGGGGCCTGGGGTCCCCGGTCTCCTTTTGTCTCCAGCTAGAGGGGCGCGGAGCGGCCAGAGAGCTAGAGGGCAGCGGGCGCCACCCGGTTGGAGGCAGGAAGTCGGGAGGCGGAATACCGGCGCATCTTGCGTACTCCCCGCTCCCCTTACTGCCCCTGGGCCAGGAGGACGTGGCGACCCTTGTCTCCCAGCTCAGGGTGGACTCCCCCAGGACCTGCTCCCCTGGTCGCCCTTCCCTGGCCCCTTTGTTCCTGGGAAAGCTGACGCCCCCTCGGCGGCCGCCCTTGCCAGCCGCCTTCCCCAGCGTCAACTCTCCCAAGCAACTTTTAGCCCGCATAATGGGGTCAGGACGCGGCCGCCCCCATTTGGAACCTGGCATCCCCCCACACCCAGGTTTGGCTAAGGATGCCCAGGGCGGGGGTACGTGCTACTTTGGAGGTGAGGACATCATGCTTCCCCTGGGACAGCATCCTTGCTGGTATCTGTGGGCTGCCTCCAGCGCATCCCCTCACATCCTTTCCCTTCTCTGCTTTCTCCCTTTCAAGCCAGTCGAGGTTTTGGACCTCACGGCTTTTTATTAAGGGCTCAACGCCAGGTGTAAGGTGATGCGCATTCAGGTACCTTCACGTTTCTTCCATCTTGAAGGTTCCCCCCTTATTGCCCCTGGCGATTGATAATAACCACAGTTATAGACAATCGCCCTCCTAATCGCAAACGTGAGCTTTTTCTCTAATCCCTGGGCTTTCCTGTCTCTCTACCTCCCTCTGTTGTCTGAGTTAAGGGGCTTGTAGAGGACTTCCCCACCCACCAACCCCTTGGATCCCCAGGCCCAACTCTTCCCTAAGATTTTGGGAATTGAAGAGGGGATAGATGGGATGGAATGGAATAAAGAATCCGTGGCCACACTTGGGAAATGTTAGCGTTTTGCTCGAGGTCATACCTGAGCAAACTCTAGGTAGATCAGTCAGGGACCAAAGGCTTATTATCGCTGAAAATGCCCGTTCCTACGATGAAGGAGCCCCTTCTTGGGCTTACTTAACAGTCAGACTTTCTAAGCTCCAGATAATTTAGAATGAGAGGTGAGGTGATTGGAAGGGATTGAGAATGACAGGGAGAAACTGAATTTTTTTGCTCATTCTTTTCCCCAGCCTTTGTGGCCGCTTGCTTATTCTTGTGGATTTTTCTTTATTTTGCTTTCATTTTATTCCCTTACTTGCCCCTTTATTCCTCATTTACTTTGCTTTTCTTTTCTAATATGTGGAAACTGTTTTGTAACTGCTAAGCACAGTACAAATGTGAGTGAATTGAATTAAACCTAATATATTATTTATCGACTGCCCCCCTGTGTGCAGTGCATTGTGCTAAGGTGCCATGGGGGATATAAAGATGACTAAGACAAAGTCCTGCAGTGGCTCATCTTTGCTGCTGCTTTTTCTCTTTATATATTTGCTATTGAAATTCCAGTATCTTAGATTCCCACCAATTCTCCTCACTCTCCACCTTCTTCTCTGTTTCTCAGTGATGGAAGAAAGAGCCAGAGTATATGCAGGAAGCAACAATGCTTAAAACCCCTTTCTTTGAATTTTTCTAAAAGGTTACTGTAGTTTGAGTCTGTTGCTGAAATATGAAAAGACAAGCTATCTTGGCTCCATGGGAGTCTGATTACCTTCATAGACTACCTTTTGCAAATTCCCATGATGCCTGTAGTGAGTGCTGCATACTCAGTCTCCACCTCCCACCCTCCCAGTTACATTCTTGCAGTTTCCCCTCTCCACATAGTTTAGGTCCACTGAAGCAAGTAGAATATATGACAAATATTCTGACACACATTATTAGTTGTTCAGTACACCAGTCCTTTAAAAGTCTTTCCAGCCTAAAATGTGGCTTCTTCGAAGTTAGGTTAACGTTGTTAGCTGTGATTTGAATTTTTTTTTAATACATAAGTCGAATACCTTGTTTCATACCTGTTGGTGACGCATTTTAGAGCTATTTGAAAAGATGAATTGGGTAGCTAAGATAGAGTTTGTGTATCGTATACACATATGACTGGAAGAGAATGAATGATATTTCAAATCCCAAACTACTTCCTTCTGAAATTTCCTTAATATTCATATGTATTTGATTTGAGATATTATCAGAAAATGAGATTTAAAAAAATAGTTGCATGAAACAAACATTTCCTCAACTTGTAACTTACACTGTTACCTTAATTTTTCTCTCTTTGCCCTTTTCCCCAAATAAAGTTTAACAAAGGACGTTTTAAAAATATTTTTCATCCTGCAGTAATACAGTAATATTTAAAAGTCACCTGCTAATTTAGGCTGTAGCTTTGAGAGGCTAAACCTCATTTAGTGTTGTATAATATGTAGTGTTGTAAAGGCAGTACCAAAGAATGAACAAGAGTCTTGAACAACTGCAACACTGTGGGACTTCTTCAGAGGATGCTCCTAATGAGACAGTTTCATCATCCTTAACATTGAAAGCATATAGTATATGCTTTCTGCTGGTCACAATCATAAATAGTTATAACTCTGTTTAAGTAAGGTACATTCTTTATGTACTTTCTAGGGTATTTTTCTCTTCACTAAACAGAAAAAGAATCATTAAGTGTATAAGAATAGGAGTGGCCATATATTTATGATTCTAGACAATTTGTAGAAGTGGTATAGAAACTCAGTCCCAGAGAGGGAAATGAACAGGGAAAAAAAGCTGACAAGATTATTAAGCTTTAGTGGCATATATTCAAGATTATTTATGAGGGACAATTTATACATTGCAATTTTGGTGCAATGTATAAATGGATTCATTTTGATTGATTTTTATTAAAATATTTGAGGGAGATGAAAATATAAAATTTATATATTGTTAGTAGTAAAAATATAAGGAAATCCTTGTATTCTTTTGCTCACCAACTTCATTATTTGTAAAATTAAATACCAAATTTTCTACTGACAATAAAAATTGAATATAACACAGTGTCAATGTTGTTTCCAGTAAATACATGAACTCCTTGTGAGTCAGTGAAATAAGTAGCTATATCCCAAATTATCCTGATAGTACTTCTGGCTATTTGGAGATATCTTCTAGACCTTCAAATTAATTTTTAAAATTAATCTTATAAAAATGTTTTTGGAGAAAACCAAATACTCATAAATTAGCATTTGAAACTAACCTTCAGTTGGAAATTGCATCCAATCCTCTTGTAGTTTTTATATTTTAAAACATAAACTCCTTTCAAGGTAAATAAAGGCAAATGAGTTATTGGAAAAAGCCATAGGCAGAAAAGTAGGCCAGTAATTGTTCTAATTTTTCCTCTGTCTGTTATTCTAAAATAAGTCATTTCTCAGCTCCTATCTGTTCCTTTGCAGGGCCTGGAAATAATCTGCAGTTGTTTGAGTCTGCAGACCTTCTCTACTTTTTTGCCCACTGAAATATAACAAAAAACCCTGAATGCTTTAGGGCCCCTGTTATTAACTTTATTATTAATTTTCCTAGTCCATGTCACACCCAGTCATTCCAATTTTTTTCTTACATCTTTTCCAACTCTGAGACTCATTCAAAAGATCCACATGACTAAGACAGTTATTTTTCTAGGACTCAGCTCCCTACATTACATTCTTCCAGTAATCTTTAATCTCTCTGGGTCAGATAAAATGATTATGATTTTTCAGAGTTAACCAATAGGCCCCATTTTGCTGGTCTTTAAACATCTCTGTGATTTAGCTCCAGCCAATTTTGTATTATTATGATTCCTAAAATAATTAAATTTTTAAGATAGCCTTTTCTCAACCCATTCCACAATCAACTGCTCTACCCTTTCCTGTTTACTATAAATCATTTCTTCAAGAGGCATTCTCTGACTTCTAATTTCTGTCGTGATGACTCAGCCATCTTGAGGATAGAAAATAAAATACATTCTTTTAGGTATAAAAAGCAAAACCAATGTTTTGTATACATTCCTATAATAGAGGAAAATGTAGTGATTATATAAAGTCTAGTCAGTATAAAAGTTTAATGCTGTAAAGGAGAATGTATTTGATAAGGCAGAGATGTTTTGACAGGTACAGTGCTCTTTAGTAATTCTTTTTGCCCATCATAGGACCCAGAGCTGAGGTTGAAATTTGTCTTTATTAAATAAAGAAAATGTCAGAATTGTGAGTTCAACTGTCTTGAGAGAGAGATTGGAAATAATTTTCTGGCAGGAACTACAAATAAGCTTAAGTGATCAAATTGTTTGTATCACTTCCTTTTGAAAAATTAGGGTATTTTTTTCAATTGAAAGGTGACTAAATTGGCACCAACAATCATCTACTTTGGATTTGACTTTTTTGGGGAACAGGAATTCTTGTCATTTTATGTAAAGAAGGAATGCATCTTTTCCATACGTAGAATTTCATTCAGAAGACATGTTATTTTTCTTATAGTGTTATTAACATTTGCTCCTTAATGTAACACTCATGATTTAGTGCAGATTAGGAACAAGGAGTATATTTATGTAGATATATTTGCTCCATAGATATTATTTTCTCAGTGCTTCTGCATGGAAGGTACTTTAATGGATTGTTTTAAATTATTCTCTGCTTTGGGGAAATTAGCCTCTGTAAGGCATGGTAGTGACATTGACAAACTTAGGCAAAGACAGAGAAAGGTACCAACTAGCACACGTAGTAATTTTTTTAAAAGCTGTATATGAGCACCATTGGAAAGAGAAGATGATAATTTTATTGAATCAGAAAAGGGTCTGTGAGGAGGGTGGGGTTCTAGCAACTATTTAAGCTACTTATTTACTTAAGGCATAATCTAAGAGGGATGTATACTAAATGTAGCGGCACAGCAAGAAACTCTAGA